TATTTATTGCATGCCATTCTGCTGGAAAATCAAAAATTGAAAATATACAATCCAAAAAATGGCAAAAAAATCCAAAAATTTGGGCGGCGGCCAGGGCAGGTGGCTGGGACAAACAAGGAACTGAATAAATCTAATCGAGCTTCCTTCCTTACTGATGAATTCCGGGGAAAGCTTAGGACCTATTCAGCCAAAATGTCCAAGGGTAGGAACGAAACGTACAACTAAAGAGTCAAAGTTGTATTCCTCTTCTTGAGAAATACATCGGCTTTTTTACCCGAAAAATATGTGTGGCGAAGGCGGGTGTGCCAGCTATTCTCTGATAAAATCTATCGATTTTTGGGGCAAACCTTACAGTATACTTCATATTTAACAGAAGCTTGCACCGAAGAGTGCCTCATTTGTTTTTCGAAAAAGCAATGAAGCATTTGTCGTTACCGTGACCATGAGAACTTCAGAGGAAACGAAGGTAGGGGAAAACGTGATTTAATTGCAGAAAAAACATAATGCAGCAATTTTTTAGCGGTGATGACCGCCCGCCATTCTAGGTTTATGTTCTACGACAAAGCCATACTCAACACATATTTTCAAAACTTTTGATAGCCCTCAAAACATTCAAAAATTTATTTGTATCAATTTTTTGTGAGGATGCTCATCATCATTATGTTTTATAAACATGTATAACTTCTTACTTTGTGAAAACAGCGTTATGAAATTAAAACTTTTATGATCTCAAGTGATGGTAGTCCTAAATACAAGATTACTTCTATAGAGAACAGTCTATAGAGAACATCTGCGAAGATGTACAGATAATTAGACAACAATCTTCAGTAGGTTTATCAATCCCTAGGGACTTTGAAGCTTGATCATGCCGTACATACCTTGTATATCATTATTAGTTGGCATCTCCGGTATCGCTCCGCCACGGCCTCATTTTTGACCTACAAACTGGGAGCGTGGGTTGGAATCTAGCAAATTAAAATTGATGCTCTCCTTCTAACTTTTTCGTGCGGCGCATGCGAGTACTCCCTGAATGTTTATTGAGTAAAATATATATTTTGTAGGTTTGCATTCCAAATATATCCAACACCCACAACCTCTAACCCCTTAATATAAGTTTTGCGGGTCCTTCTTACAATCGTTGTCAACCGTGCTGCTTCTTCCGCAGTAGGTACGCATCCACAGCGCGTGGGCATCGCGGTGCGATTTTTGATCCATGCGGCAGATTTGAAGCTCATGACGCCCCGAACGCATCACGGGGCTCTAACGTTGCGTTTGAGCTGATTAGCAAGAAAACACATCGTTGACGCAGACTGCAAACAAGTTAACCGGTTATCATAAGTTACTAGCTGGCACGGCTTTGCACGCACTGTGGGTTTGAGTTGCCAACAAAGTGCAAAATTGGTGCGCAACCCCAAAGTCTTAACTTACTGCGTTTCGGCGTTCTTCTGCTTTTTGTGGAACACTGGCTAGATCTCTCTTAGGGCCGCATGCACTAACATCCCCCCGGGGAGGGGATCGCAGCTCAAAAGAAAGCTTTATATTTCCAAACTCCAGATACCTGGATTTCACATTGTGTACCTATCCGTAAGTATTCCTACTACCCTTCACTATGAACATGTTGAAGAGGAGCGAGAAGCTGTACGAACCGCATTTTCCAGCTTTTGTATGATCCCTGATGATCCCCGGCGCTTTTCTTTAAAGTCATTTTTCTTTCTCCGAAGCTAACGAAAAACTTCCAAAGTTGTGCAGATTATCTAACCCAACAGTGCTAAGCATGTTGCTGATAAGAACAAATGATGTTTTGAAGTCATGAAATTTTCGATGATCCACAGGTCGAAACTTGAGGTTTACCGAAAAATTCCACTTTTCAAAAATTCATTTGTTCTCATCAGCAACATGCTTACCACTGTTGTGTTAGATGTTCAGTACAGCTTTGGAAGGTTTTCGTTAACTTCGGAGAAAGAAAAATGACTTTCAAGAAAAGCGCCGGGGATCATCAGGGATCATACTAAAGCTGGAAAATGCGGTTCGTACAGCTTCTCGCTCCTCCTCAACATGTTCATAGTGAAGGGTAGTAGGAATACTTACGGATAAATACACAACGTGACCAGGTATCTGGGGTTTTGAAATATAAAGCTTTCTTTCAAGCTGCGATCCCCTCCCCAGGGGGGAGGTTAGTGCATGCGGCCCTTGGTCGCATCTTTGAATTACGCGTTTCGCTATCGTGGAACGGGACTGACTTCTACAGTTATTGTTTACACGGAAGTTGAAACTGGCTTGATAGTAAATGGTAAAAGTTCAGTTTTCTCGACTCGATAGAAGGAGCCGCAATTTCGCCTCGGAAAGTAGCCTGCGGGGTGGACCAGTGTTGAAAACATAAGGGTGTGAGGTTTTGCGCTGATCGGTTCACACACAAAAGTTTTTATAAGGAACACACTAATAACAATTTACCAACACTCCGCTTTATACAGGTGTCCCAAAAAATGTGCTTACTGTTTGATTGTCAATAACTCTTTTGTCATGAAGTCTTTTGTGAGGCATTAAGCACCGTTTTGTAGAGCTGGCTTCAACTTAGATTTACGCTATGGACCGGATTACCGACGGCTGTCCATTACTGTAGGATTACGCAGGAACTTTGAAGAAGATTTTCAGCCATGAAAGGTTTTTACCTCAGAAAGAAAACCAAATAACCTGAAACTTTTACACTGGGCTACTTAGAGTTACTGTTGTTGAATGTAAGCTCGCAAGTTATTATAATGCTTCAATAAAAAGTTATGCATGGTGAACAAAAGCGGCCGTTTTCACAATGCTCCTAAAAAGTGCGATTACACCGTTTAGAATCTTCGCAATCTTGTACATAGTTGAGTATTAAACTCAGCGCCCATGAAAACCCTATCACGCAAGTTCTCACATTTTTTTTGAAAATATCTGAGAAGCCACTTTTCTCACAGTGACACCATATGCTTGTAGTTTCTACCGTGATCCTACAGTAATGAAGAGCGATAAATGATTCGCTCCATGCTGTAAATCTAAGTTTAGTTTCGCTCTACAAAACGGTATCTAAAGCCTCTCGAAAAATTTAATACAAGAAAGTTATCAACAATCAAACAGTAGGCACATTTTTTGGTACACCTTGTATATGTATACATGATGTTGGTGTAGACAGTTCGTGAGGCAACTGAAGAAAACGTCGATTAACTTCTTTGGTCTCGATCTGCTCTCAAAGAATGTTTGTAACCACTTTTCTCATGAGGAGCTGTTTTCTATTCACAACAAAGCACAGCGTAACTTCTTGAAAGATGGTAACAAAATCAACTTCTGGTACTCTTCGACTGTTTAGCCATAACCGAGATTGGTAACTTATTTATTTAGGCTGATGTTTCGGCAATAATTCGCCTTCTTCAGAGCCTGAAATGGGCAAAAACAATTTACAGACTACCCGACCAAACATCTCCTCAACCCTACAGGCAAGATTCTAAGTTTTCTTTCAACCACGAGCAGGCTGCCATACGCAGTACTCACCTTTCGTTCGCCGGTAAAGTTCTGGTGAGTACAAGCGAGTGCTTACTGACCGCTTGAGCAAGGAATTAAACATGTCTTCACTTGATCAAAAGATCTGATTAAGATACGGTGCGAGTTCTCGTGTGATAGAGATACACTCTTCTTTGCGGTTCATTTTAGGGTTTCTAAAATGAATTCAAAAGGCTTCTAGAGTTTTGTGAGTGGATGTTTGAGCTTCGCGCGCTAGAATCTCTACTTTGACTCCAAAATCAACTCTTTGATGATCTTGCACTTATCACGCAAAGATAAGTTGATTTTGGAGTGATCACTTCACGATCACTCCAAAATGAACTTCTCTTTGCTTTCTGCTGGAGTTGGAGAAAAACCTCCAAATCTAGCAAACATACCTATCGTGTTTTGAGAACAGCTGAATTCTATGTTGCAACAGGTTTCACTGTACTTTCGAAAATGAATTCATACTTGGAATCCTAGTCTCGAAAGTAAGTCCATAGGTGCGATAAGGTGAGAATGACCTCCAGGGTGAAGCGGGTCACGGTGGTCGCAGCCCCTCCAGGATGAAGGGGGTCAGAGGGGGTGGGGGGGGGGGGGTGCGTGCGTGTGTTAATGTGGGTGTGCAATTACACACAACGCGCCGCCAGGAACGGCATCGTTCCTTTCACAACCTCATTTGCCTCTAGTAACAGTTCATGATTAAGTGTCTTCTTACATTCACAAAAGAAAGGAATCCTAAGTTTAGTTTTGTTTTTACTGTTTTTTCAAGAAAGTCACCATCACCACAGCAATGTTTCTACGGCTGTAGGCATCGATCACGATTCGGAAAACATCATCTACATGATGACGAAGGCATGGTATCCGTATAGGACATGAGGTAATGGTAAGCATTGATATGCTGAGTTTGAGTCGTACACCTAGCCATTGTTTCAGAACTTACATATATCAACCACAAAGTAGTGGAGGAAAGGTGATGAAAATGACAAGAGGTGAAGGCTTTTGTGGCGTTCAGTGAGTTATCTCAATTGATTGCCTTCTTCCTGTATGAGTTCAATTACCCGGATATCAAGAATCATCCAGTGGGTTATAACCTTTGAACTGGTTGGTGAGTCCAAGAAGGCGCTGGCAGCGGCAGCAGGGGTCCCGCAACGAGTGTTGCGTCATGATTTCGCAAGTCATTGCTCAATAGCCGTTGTACTTTCAAATGTTTCAACGTTGAACTTTCATTTTCAAACTTTCAAGCTTTCAATCACTTCAGTTTTCCCCCACCGTTTTCATCATTTTTCATGAGTAATAGCGCTTATAAGACTCACGCCATTCCAATCCACTAGATCCGCTTGATCCAATAATCCGTTTTGATGTTACTTGAATCGATGAAGTTAGCAATACTAAAATTGATCAACCGGATCAAACGGATCAGGTGTGGCGTCGTAGAGGAAGAAGATTATGAAGTATAACTATGGCTTTGATTTTTTTTTGTAGTTATCATGGACAACGAAGGACCCGTGATGTTCTACAAGCACGAGTTGCGTGAATTGTTGCATTGTGCGGAGTTCGCGCCCTCGCCTCTCCTTGTGTGAGTGCATAATCTTCTTGCTTTGTTCCTATGAGCAACATGGCACTTACAGCTTCGTTTCGGCCTTTTTCCAAGGGATAGCTGCAACATACTTCATCATAAACGCCTTCATCTTTGGCGCATTGGCGGCGTGGCGCCACACATGCACCCTCATGCGCCGCCTACATGCTGCAGGCGGCGCCTTTGTACACCCCAGTCTTCCGCCACCTTTATTGGAAGCCGTGATCCGCCAGCATTGGAATAAAGGACGATTTTTTGTAATAGTTGTATACTTGAAATAAAGAATTGAATAAGTGAATGTGTTATGTTGTACTCGGATAACCGTAGATCGGTTTTTGATTACCACTTATTGTGTATCAAATTCATTCAAGATTATAAAATAGAAATTGCAGAATGCTAGCTGAAAGGCTAAACGAGCTGTACACCTGGGCAGGGTGTGAGCCACCCGGATTAATGTGAGTTAGCCGATCTATATCAGTAAGTGCTCAAAATCTTTTTTAGGAGCATATTGGATATTGGACGGGGGTCGCCGTCGCGGTTTTGGTGATGATGGTGGGCGTCCTACTTGCCATCGTGAAATGGCCTAGACTGGAATCGCGACTCGAGGCGGCGAGAAGAAAACCTGCTCCGCAAGTTGGAATGTTGGAAGGAGAATCTGTTTATTTTGATGCACGTAGCCGCGTGGATATGTCTCAGTAATTTGTGTAAATAAAGTTGCACATCTGTTTTTATGTGTTGTAATTGTGTACGTATGTTCTGAGTAGAATTTTTTATTTCTGAACCGCTATGGGACAATGCACACATACACTTCGGAGGTGCGCGATTGTCGTAAGCTACTTTTCGTCACTGGTTGATATTATCGATTTTTCACAAACTTTGAGCTACGGGGCTGGGATTTGGCACAGTGGGGTAACTGGGCATGCTGATTACGAATAGAAATTTAATTTGCAGATTCTATCGATTTTATCGATTTTTCACTAACTTTAAGCTACGGGGCTGGGAGTTGGCACGGTGGGGTAACTGAGCACGCTGATTACAAGAATGTTATTGACAGGGTCGGCGGGGTAGGGTCTGCCAGCTATGTTCAAATAAAAAAGTGCACATTGCAAGGAACATTTGAACTTCTTCAGGAGCGGTCACGTCATACATGATAAATATAGTCTAAGTTTAGTGAGATGACATGAGTGTTTGCGAAATTTTTATAGAGATAAAGAGAACTTAGAGCTCGTCGTGCTCTGTCACATCTACATTTTCACATTCTAAGTTTTGTATATCTAACTCTCCAGGAGTCTCGTCAGAGAGCGAGAAGTAGAACTGTGTAAAAAAACGATCTGGATCAAAAATAGCCTTGAATTTTGCTTCTTCTTCGAGACGTTGCAGCGACTTCTTTCCTGGGCCTCTGGTTCGTCCGGGAAAGTCTGCAGTTTGACGACCCGTCTCTTGCCAGTCTTTCGGATATCGCAGAAACTCATATGGTGATAGTCGATCCGGTCCACTTATAGCTATCCTATAAATTGTGTAGGTAGTTCGGATGAAGTAAAGGTGCTGACGTACCTTAAGTATTACTCAAGTGTTTAACAGTTGTACGACTTCTCCTTGGCTCTCTGATTACCGAGTAAATCGAGAACCCTCTTTCTACTTCCGCAGTACTAATGGGGATCGATACCAGCTTCTCTAGCAAGGACATCAACAATCGACGATCAGTAAGTGAGGGAGGGCGAGATTGCATGTGTTTGCGAAGAACTGGGAGAAAATACTGCATTTTCTCTTTAGAAAATACTGCATTTTCTCTTTGGCTTTTGTAAGCTCTGCCCTGACCTCCGCTGGCAATGATGCTTTCAGCTGCGTAGAAAGTTGTTCGAATTCAGATTCAATTCTGGCTTCAGGAAAATTAAGAAATTTCGACACTTTGCGGCGACTATCAATTTCGAGAGCATTGTAGTCACTGAGTGCTTCAGGTGAGAAAGACTTTGCTGCATGAAGTACAGAATCTGCCGGGTATGCTATACGTGACTTAAGCGTAGCAATTATCTTATTTACTAGAAGGAATCTCTTCGGTTGATCCATATTTGTGAATTTAGCAGCTTTGAATTCTTCGACGACTTGAAGATCATCTATTGATCTTCTGGAGACATCCTCATCAAATCTTGGCTTACTTGTTGAGTTTCTGATGTAACCTATGAGTTCGTTCCGCTCTGTTGTCAGCAAATCAGTAATTTCGGCAATGCGCTGTTGTTCCGGATCTAGTTCGCCTTCTGCCTCCATGCTAAATTCCAATGTGTCCACACCACCTTGAAGTCTATACCTAATTCTCTCAGCTGCACCTTCATACTGCCAGCCATCCCAAAACCTGGAAAAGTAGCTGAAAATGTTACCAGAATGTACAGCGACTTACCATTTTCGTCCCGAAAGTGACGCAGCATTTGTTCGAAATCCTCTCGTGTCAGCAGCAGGTTTGCAGAGAACTAATAGAGAGCTAATAATGCGCATACAAAATTGAATACAGCTTCACCTAAACAGTGGCAACGTAGCCGAGTCGCACACTTTGCTAGGAGTCTTCCACGATATGCGCACAACAACACTAAGCAAAGTGAATTGTGAGATCGATAAGCGATGTTGTGAGCGCGTCTCTAACTGCGTGTCCGTTTTGTACTTTGCGGACATGCCCTCTGCGCCACATCTATATGCATTCGTATACTCAATACCTCATTAAACTGCGCCTCCAATAAGCTGTCACAAATTAAAAGTTTCCTGATTAAATCAAGAACTGAAAAGAAACCAAGGAGGGTGAAATAAAGGATATCTAGTTGAACCGCGAAAATGGAACACGGAGTAAATTTGCAACGTGGGTAATAATCAAGAATATCATAGTGGAAATGCATATTGAAATTAAGTGTGCATCGACAAAACTAAGAGGATTCTTAGACAGTCACGAAATTCCAAAAGAAAAATGTAACTTTTGTAGATGAACAGCTAGTACACGAAGGTGGCCACCATTGTAACCGTTTCTTCCTCTGCTTTCAGAAAATATATAGTTTGTCTGGGATCCGTTGAAAAAAGTGCGCGGTGAAGGGTGTGCCTAGTGATTTCTGAAGATTTTCAAGTTTTCAACATAAAAAAAATTCATAACTTCTGTAGATGAACAGCTAGTACACAGAGATGCACACCATTAGAACCGTCTCATTCTCCGCTTTCAGAAAATATATAGTTTGTCTGGGATCCGTTGAAAAAAGTGCGCGGTGAAGGGTGTGCCTAGTGATTTCTGAAGATTTTCGAGTTTTCAACATAAAAAAATTCATAACTTCTGTAGATGAACAGCTAGTACACAGAGATGCACACCATTAGAACCGTCTCATTCTCCGCTTTCAGAAAATATATAGTTTGTAAGGGATGCCTGGTGAAGGGGGGGGGACAATTTTATAACGGGAGTTCTCAGGTAGACGTCTTTTTACAATGGTGAAAAGGCCTCTGCCTGAGAACTCCCGTTATAAAATTCTCACCCCCCCCCTTCACCAGGCATCCCTTACAAACTATATATTTTCTGAAAGCGGAGAATGAGACGGTTCTAATGGTGAGCATCACCGTGTACTAGCTGTTCATCTACAGAAGTTATGAATTTTTTTATGTTGAAAACTCGAAAATCTCCAGAAATCACTAGGCACACCCTTCACCACGCACTTTTTTCAACGGATCCCAGACAATCTATATATTTTCTGAAAGCAGAGGAAGAAGCGGTTTCAATGGTGAGCATTTCCTTGTACTAGCTGTTCATCTACAAACGTTATGAATTTTTAATTGAATTTTTTCAAATAAGCAGTGGTATCAACGCAGAGTACTTCCGATACACAAACAATTTTCGTACAAATATCTCCTATGCTAAATCTAAATTTAAACAAGAAGTAGTTACAATCTCACTTTGTTTCAACAACCCTAATTTTTCCAACTTTTAAAAATACTGATCATTTTCAAATGTACTTTTGGTTTCTCATTTATGCAGTTCATATATATATATATATATCTTATATATAAAGCTGAATGTCTGTTTGTCTGTCTGTCTGTATGTCTGTCTGTATGTATGTACGTATGTTCCGAATACAAATTTTTATTTCTGAACCGATCGGGACCAAACTTGGCACACATATACTTCAGGGCAGGGAGCGTGTCATAGGCTACTTTTCGTTATCGATCGATATCGATTTTATTGATTTTTTGCAAAATTCGAGCTAGAGGGCTGGGATTTGGCAGAGGGGGGTAATCGAGCATGCTGATCACCCCGAAGGGGTGATCAGCATGCTCGATTACCCCCCTGTGCAAAATCCTAGCCCCCTAGCTCAAATTTTGCAAAAAATCGGTAAAATCGACATCGATCGATAACGAAAAGTGGGCTGTGACACGCTCCCTGCCCCGAAGTGTATGTGTGCAAAGTTCGGTCCCAATCGGTTCAGAGATAAAAATTTCTATTCGGAACATACGTACACGGGTCTAGCTGGCAGGCCCGGCGGAGCCGGGCAAGCCAGCTAGTATATATATATATATATATATATATATATATATATATATATTAGGTTGAACCGAAAGTTCTGTCCCTCCATTTTCAAAAATTCGTAACTTCGCCAGATTTCAACGGATTTGCTTGCTCGTAATTTTATTAGAAAGAATAGATCTTCCGCTTTCAAGCGCTGTTTTATGTAGCTTCTGCTTCGCACTGAGTGCCGAGATAAAAATGGAAAACTAAGACCATGTAAAGTTTGACCATTTTAAGTTAGGTCACCAAAAATCTGGAATGCTGCAGAAAAATCTGAAATCGTCAGTACATATGTTTTTTGGCCTACTCTTTGCAATTGTGAAGAGTTTGCGCTGTTTGGACGTTTCCGCGAGAAGTTATGATTTTCACGAAAATTGCCAAATTAATTAATTTTGGCGTTATCCATAGTAAACTCGATATTCATAACTTCTCACAGAGATGTCCAAACAACACAAACTTTTCACAGATGCAAAGGGTAGGCCAAAAAACATATGTACTGACGATTTCAGATTTTTCTGCAGCATTCCAGATTTTTGGTGACCTAACTTAAAACGGTCAAAGTTTACATGGTCTTAGTTTTCCATTTTTATCTCGGCACTCAGTGTGAAACAGAAGCTCCGCAAAACAGGGCTTGAAAGCGGAAGATCTATTCTTTCTAATAAAATTACGAGCAAGCAAATCCGTTGAAATCTGGCGAAGTTACGAATTTTTGAAAATGGAGGGACAGAACTTTCGGTTCAACCTAATATATATATATTAGGTTGAACCGAAAGTTCTGTCCCTCCATCTTCAAAAAATCATAACTTCTTTCCGTCACGATGATTTCGCGCATTTCAAATTTTATTAGAAAGAGTAAAGCATGTAGTTTCCAAAAGTCCCCTGGAGACTTTCCAACATGCTCAGGTTGCAGAGATAAAAATGAAAGAACGACATCCGAAATTCGGAATTTTTAAGCAAAAATTCTAACAATTCAGAAACTGTGCGATAAAATCCAGAACAGCCATTATCCTAAGTTTTCTTATATTTTATCACTGACTGAGTTAAGTTTGTGCTGATCGAGCTCTTTTTTCAAAAGTTATGATTTTTTTTTAAAAAAATGCCGAAAAATCGATTTCTTAAGAATTCCTAGGAAAGTGATTTTTCGGCATTTTTTTAAAAAAAATCATAACTTTTGAAAAAAGAGCTCGATCAGCACAAACTTAACTCAGTTAGTGATAAAATATAAGAAAACTTAGGAT